TATATATATATATATATATATATATATATATATATATATATATATATTATATAATCTGTCTGTCTCCATCCATCCATCCATCTACAATTTGATTGTATCACAATTCTTTTTGGTCCATTAAAACCTTTTGAACACACAACTGCATTAGCAAACAAATCCTGCTTCCCACTGTGTTCAACTGATTTGTTTGCTGAGTGAAAACTTGATTGTCTTGCTCTGCTGAGTTCCCTGGGAATGAAAGATGATCTGCTGATGTGTGTGTCAGAGCAGGAGTGCAGTAAGAAACATGCTGACTTCTTGGGAATCAGAGCAGTGTTTGGGAGCGTAATGGGCTGCAGGCCATACAGAGTTTTTGTGTAATGTTGTAACTCACTCTCTGAACAGCTGTCTGAATGGGATCTTTCTTTTTTTGCCATGTAAGGTTTTGTTTGGGCCGAGTAGGGCAGTGTAGCTTCTTGGTTAAAAAACACATCAGTGATCTTTATTTGACACATCTTACTGAATTTTATGATTAGAGTAATAAATGGACAACTCTACACCACAAAAGGTTGGATGCACTTCTTTTTGTGACTTCTTTATGTGTAATCTTTATTTTTTCTTCAGTCCAATGGGCACATTTCTCTAAGTGGAGGTGACCACTACCAAGAAAGACTGTCAAGGATTGAGAGCGACAAAGAGTCTCTGGTGCTTCAGGTACCCATCCAACAGCACTTACTCTACACTAAACACTAAATGTTTTTCTAAACCCATGTTCCAAATGTGAAGTGAACGGCTGCCTTGTAACAATTGTTTGAGTGCACCTTTATATGTTTTAAATATTGCATAACCAGATGGAATCTGCTTGCAGGAGTAGTGTTGCCAAATTAATTTGTATTTACCAGGTAAGTGCAACCAGTGGATAAAACAAAGTAACTTATCTCCTTTTTCAACAACAAATCTGAACCAACACAGCATTTTTTTAAACTTCTGAACCTTGATTAGATACTACACTGACTTCATTTTTAAACATAACATCATAACCCTAATGTTAGTCTGATTGGTCATTGTGACCCCACACCGAGCCCTTAATGTAAGAAGTTCTTTATTTTTAACCAACAAAAACTTGTTGCTGCTGTGATACCAGGTTTTCTGGCCTGAAAATTGTAGTTTAGTGGTTAAAAACAGGAAAAACAGATTCTACATTTGGAACTAGTTTAATGAGAAGGAAAACAAATTCATCTTTTCTTTCCCAAGACTTTTCCTTTTTCTTTGTTTTTGTCTAGGAAAGACATACAGTACGATTGCAGACTACACCAGTTGTGTTTGTCCTCACATTGTGATTTTATGTTTATTTCATGTCTTATGGATCTCAATATTGATATATATATTTTTTTATCTTAAACCGCACAAATTGTTCCATCTGTACAGTAAGTATTCAACTTTATTTACATACATCGCTTGTTGCAGGAATGTGACCTGTGCTGGCTGGAAAAATGGTTATTTCTGAAGACATACTTGTAATAAAATATTAATTTAAAGATCGATTAGGAAGATTATCTGCTCCGCCTCATGGTGGATGGGTTAAATGCAGAGAGCCAATTTCGCCATTGTATGGGAACATACGATGATGACAATACATACTACGGTAATTATTATTATTATTATTATGTTATTTTACTTTCTGGGATCACTATAGGGGAGTGGTGTCGGAGAGGTTAGAGAAGGCGAGCCTGTCATAAGAAGGTTGCCTGTTTGACCCACCCGGGCTGATGACTTCAAAATGTGGATGGAAAAGGTGAAGCACCCACACCTGCCCCCACCCTCATTTTCCCCACTCTAGGCCCTTGAGCAAGGCCATTAACCCCACACCATCTGATCCCCTGGGTGCCCTAGATGGCAACTCTCTGCTCCACACAGAGGGCTGTGGTAGCTTGGTGGGCTGTGTTTGTGACAGGAAGGGCATCCGGAGTAAAAACAATCGCAAAGTCTTAGTGTGAGTTAGTTCGCTGTGGCGACTCCTGAGGAAGGGAGCAGCCAAAAGAAGAAGAAATAGAAAAAAAAGTTACTGGGATCACTATCAGGTGCCTTTATGGACTCACGAAAATCTCAATTGTGGCAAAAAAATAAATATGTTCACCTTTGCACTGCAGCCTAAGCTCATTCTGATTCATTTGGCCAGCGCGGGTCACCAGTGCTCATACCCACATCTGTAAATATGCTGTTGCCATTGTTCTGCCCAATACAGTTGTGTTGTACTGTATATATTCTAAACTCACAATAACACCTTGGTTTTGTGCAGGTGAGTGTGCTGACTGACCAGGTGGAGGCTCAAGGAGAGAAGATTCGTGATTTGGACTTGTGTTTGGATGAGCACAGGGAGAAACTCAACTCAACTGAGGATATGTTGCAACAGGTGTGTGTGTGGTTTTGTGTTGTTGTTTGTTTTGTTGTTTTTAAGGTGGTTTTCACCCAGATTTTCTTAGCCTTTTTGTAAAAATCTAAATATAAGGAAGAACAGAAAAGTTTTACTAATGCATCAAAGCCTGAATTTAAAAGAGATTTGGGTGGCAGTCTTTTTTCCAAATTAAATTATCCCACCAGCCTTCAAGATATTAATAACTCTAATGTACAAACACTTTCAGCAATTGTTTAAATCCATTCATTAGCTGCTCGATTCTAAGTGATAGTTTGTGCTTGAATGCTGAAGCTATCAACAAGTTTTCTGTAGGATTCAGTGACTTTGATCCCAAGGTATATTTCCTACAGGTCAGTGTTTTAAGCTTTGTCTTTTTTGCTTGTTTACTGTTGTAGGAGCTTCTGTGCCGAGCAGCACTGGAGACCCAGAAGCTCGAACTGATGTCAGAAGTGTCCAACCTCAAGTTGAAACTCAACTCTATGCAGAAAGAGAGATTGGACTTCAATGACAGATTTAGGGACAGCGATGTGAGATGCTTATTTTTGTTGTCTGTTGTCCTCAAAATTAGCTGAACTACCCAGGGGAGATATGCCTGCATTGACTCTTACAGTTATAGAGTGAAGTCATATTTTTTTTTTTTTTTTTTTGTGATGGCCTCCCTTCTCCCCTTACAGCCATCCTCTCCACACCATTATTATGAAATATTTATTATAGTGACTATCTAGTGTAGTTTTTTTTTTTTTTTTTGAGTGAAGTCATATTAGTGCAGAGCAGTTCAGTATTGTTTATCTGTTGAACCTTATTTAAATGTGCTGCTTTTTGGTCAAAGCTTTATCAAGATTAAACACTTGTTTATGTGAGATATGGTGATTTGTGCTTCCAGGCAGACTGTGCAAAGTGTTTGGAAAGCTTTCAGACACGTCATGTTGTTGCTCTTCCACCCCACTGGAACAAAAAGGCTGCTGTCCATGTTCCGCCTCACAGGACATAAATCACAGCTTCCTCTCATTATATCACTGCTGCTGCTGCTTTGGAGCATTTAATCTCAAAGGACTCAACATCTGGGATAGTTTACGGAGTTTGTCTAGACTGTGTTTGCTGCGTAATCAGTTCTACTTATTTTATCAGCTTATTAAGATACAAGTTATCAAAGAATTTTGAAGCGCAGCTTTTAATTGGCAGGTGCTAAAATAATTTTTTTGTGAAAATAAAATTAAAATGATCTCGGTTTTGTGTGTTTTCTGACAGATTTGTGATGTGCATTTTGCTTTTGCAGGATTTGATCCTTGAAATTAACGAGCTGCGGTACAGACTGACTGACCTGGACAATGAAAAGCTACAGTACGAAAATAAACTGAAAGCCACAAAGGTGAGTTTTCACAGGACTCTGCTTTCCTAACCAGTTGAACAGTTTTTATGCAAAACCTTTAATGCATTTGCAATAATTAATGCATATTCAATATGTCTCAATATTTTTTAAACAATATGGACAGAATTGTAATAGTCCTTCATGCTGCCATAACTCCATCTATAAGACTCTGTAATGGCTAATTTAATCTAACATTTCTAATCTGAAAATTAAAATGTTACATTAAGACAGTTGGAAGAAAGAGCACAAATTCCAGGCTTTTAAAATGGACTTTTCTCAGTTTTGTGCATGCATCATGATAATGGTTTTTGACCTCTCCCTTTGGCTTCTTTAATTAAAAATATATAAATAAGTCTGTATGTTTTTTAGGTTTTTGTAATTTGTTATTGCACTGTTATGTCCTTCTTATTTTATACAGTCATACAATATAAAAAATGTGAAAGGTCATGTGCAATAAATACAAACACTTCCACAAACCAACAAAAAATATATATATATTCAGCAAATGCATTTTCAGACTACAGGTATGTTTTAATTTGAGTTATTTTTCCTACTTTTTACACTTCTTTCTCTGTTTTGTTTTGCTTTATTCCCTTGTCCTAATTTTATGTTAAATTTTTATGTTTGTACTCGGTTGCCTTCTGTTTTCTTTAAACATGTTTATTTTTAATTTCTTTGATAAACTTGCCTTGACCGTCCAAGACATTTGTGCATGCTATCCACCTTACACTTGTAGAACCTGTTGTGCAGATGTGTCTTGTGTGCCTCTTAACGCCATGTTGGCATCCAAGAACCTTTGTGTTGTTGAGGTGAGGGGTGGAGGAGGCGATGTGTGTCTGGGGGGAACACACTCACTGTTGTCCTCTGCTGGACAGGAGGAGCTATCCTTACTCAGGAGACAGCTGGAAGGCAAAGATGGAGAAATGAGGAGACCACATGATGAGACAGGCTTCAAATCCATCGCTATGAGCAGTGCAGATTCTCTGGAGAGAGGTAGGAAAAGCTGCCAACCATAAGCCTCACTGAACCTGAGCAAGCTCAGAGTTTAATATCTGTATAAATATGAGATAGTTTTCTAAGGCTAAAGCTCTACACAGTTTTTGTGTCATAATTTTTGTCCTGTTTAGTTTCTCATCCAGATGAAATGTTAAGAAAGAGGCTGAAAGAAAAACGTAAGGGGGGTTTTCTGCTTTTGATCATCACTGCATTCACCCCAACCCCTGTTTGCATGAACGAGCATGAGCCATCTGAACTCTGCTTGTCTATTATTACTCATTGAAGTGCATAACTGACCACAGCAACATATCTCAGTTTTCTTTTTCTTTATTTTGAATGAAACAACAAAGTCTTTTAGATCCCCTGTCATGTTTTAAAGTCCAGCTTAAAACAACAAAAAGAACTGTTTGCTCCATGTAATCAGCAGGAATGAGGAATGATGTGATGTTATAACCATTCAGACTGCTCACTCATCTTTCTGACATGTTCTCCAACAAAAATAACCTTCTGTACACCTCAGTGACTCCTCAAAGTTTTCCAAACCTTTCTCTGTTGACACCACAAAGTGTGTCTTTTTAACCTGTTTTGTCCTGTTTGTTGTTGTTTGACTATGTTGAGAGTCGACTTATCTTTGTCTGTCCCCATCACATATATCATGAATCTGAGTGTATAGAACAGTTTCATTTTTCATTTTGTGCACACACTCCTCCAGCAGGACTCTGAATACATACTGAACATTTTCAAACCCTAATACTTATTTTATCATGTTTTAAAGTGTCAGATTAAAGGAAAAACTTGGAACATGTTTAAGGACATTCTTGTGTGGCTGAGTTAATGATATGGTTCTTAAGTTTTAGTGAACACATCCATTAAATATTCATATACACATATTTTAAATACACAAAGTAAAGGATTTATTTGACTCAATGATCAGAAAACACAAGTTAGTTGAACATCCCGTTGCCACAGATGGTCATTTAGAGATGAGCCACAGCACTTCATCATCTGTATCTACAGTCTATCCTATCAGGGAATATTTACAGATATATTTACAGATACTCACTGCATAGCCATGAAGACCTGTCAATAATAAAATTAAATGAACAAAATCTACGTAATTTATATTGATAGTTATTGTGTGTTTAAAAAAAATGGAAGCATTATTTGTGAACAGGTGCCAACTACCACAGGAGTTTGTTTACGGTACTTATAAAAACAGCCAAAGTGACTGAAAATAGATTTTTGATGGTGACGTCTGTGGAAGAGCTGTTGGGGATAGAGAAGTCAGATAGTTTGGATGTACTGGTATTTATTCATGCACAGATTTATTGAGTAAAAAAATGAAAAGCAATGATAAGTTAGATTGACATAATCTTACTGGTTTAGATACATTTTTGCAGAAGCCATTAAGAGTGTGTGTTTGAGTTCAGAGCTTTGTCTTTATGGCACTCCACCACCCTGCTTGATCCCCAATATTTATTCTTGGCTATTACCTCACTCCCTATTTCTCTTTTCTTTGGCATTTAGCTTCAGAATTACTTTTATACTTCCACTTGGACATCTTGTGTGATTCTGCCATACTTGTTCACCTACACAAACTACAGTCAGGCTAATGTAGGTCAACCATGTGACTCAAGCTTCCAGTTGGTTTTTGGTGCATTCAGCTGTGTGCTTTGTTTACATTGAGTGCATACCCACATTTCAGATTTGCATATCAATACAACTGGAAATTTGTTGAAGTAAACTCTTTCAATTGCACCATTTGATACAGATCAGGATAACATTTTTATGTTTTATGTAATAAGTACCTTTGATATTTTATCTTCAGATTACTTTGAACCAGATTCATGAAAATCAACAGATTAAAAAGCTGGTTTATCTGAGATAATGTTTATTGTTGGACTTTTTTTTTTTTTTTTTGCATTAGCAGGCATTTCTGGTGAAAAGCAGTCACAGCAAGACTGACTGAATATAACACACTTTTAAAGTGAACTAACTAGCTGTTATCCACTTTTTTGTTTGGAGAATTGGTTTCCAAGTTTTGGCAAGACAAGACTCAAATAAATTATTTTAAAAGAGCTGCGGTAGCTCGGTGGTCAGTGCCATGGTCTTGTAATCCTGAAGTTACGAGTTCAAGCCCAGGCTGCGTCAGGAAGGCCATCCGGCGTAAAACAAATTGCCAAATCTTTCATGGGAGTTCACTCACTGTGGTGACCCCTGGAGAAGGGAGTAGCCAAAATAAACTTTTTTTTTTTTTACAGTGATTTTTTTTGTTACAAACTAAAACACATGAATGAACAATGTTTTCAGTACAGATAAGAACCGTGTAATTTGCGCTCATGTTAAAGTTGTATAGAAATCGAATGGAAAAGTTTAGTGGCAGGTTTGTTTTTGCCTCGGTTGATTACTTACACAACCTCGTGTTGGAGTGTGTGTTCTGAAAAGTGAAAATGTTCTAACGAAGTTTCAACACATGTTGGTCTTGATGGCACTGCACTGACTGTAAACCTGCAGCCTCTCTGGACTAAATTAATTTAAACATCCATCTTCATCCCCACATTTTATCCTTCACAAAGCTTCGCACTTCAGTGTTCAAAATCGTTTTCTGTCTTCACTAGATGTGGAAGTGCAAAGAATGAAAAAGGCTGTTGAGTCATTAATGGCAGCAAATGAAGAAAAGGTATTTTTTTTCCCATGCCACATTTATCAGATTATTCATATTTCTTCCTGTAAAGTCGAACTCTTTGTAAACGTTTGCTTTATTTTATTTATTTCCTATTTGCAGGATCGTAAGATTGAGGAGTTAAAGCTGTCGCTTTTGCGGTACAAGAAAGTTCAGGACATGGTGATGTCAGTGCAAGGAAAGAAAGGTTAGACTTTTACAGCTCGCATGAACAATATGATCATTTTTAACAGATAAATCCGAACTGAAAATTTAATTAAACATGTTGTGTACGTGGGTGCCAGCTTTTGTTCCTACCTCATATTTTAGACTACGATTGTTTTTTCTAGAATTCTAATTGTTCATATTTCTAATTATGCATTTTTTTGTTTGTTTTATTATTCACCGCAGATAAAATGAAAGATGAGCATGTTGAGAGTCCTGCTGATGGATTCAGTGCAGTCTTGTCCTACCTTGGGTCTGTGGAATCTGAAAAGCAGGAAGTTACAGATCTTGAGCAACTAAAAATAAAAAAGCCAGATGAGGTTTGTAAAATAAAATGTAATGTGGGGGGTATCGCACATTTTTGCATTTGTTAGCTTTTCGATGAAATAAAAACAAGTTAAAGCTTTAAATAAAACTACCGGTAAGTAGTGGGTAAAGACAAACTCTTGTTTGTTTACTTTTTATTTTCTATCAATAACTTACAAAAAATATTAACTTAAACATTCAAATTAATAAAGACCACATATTAATTTCACAATTTTTAAACAAGTTTTAAAATGTGAGTCATCCGTTTTATTGACAGTAATTAGCCAGTCTGTTTCATGTGAAATATTTGCTGCTTTTAACTGTTGCCATTAAAACACCATAGGAAGTGTTACTTGGCAGAATCGTTAAAATCTCTTTTTTTTTTCCTCATTCTGATTCATTCTTAGGTGGAAAGTTTTAGTGGACAGAGTGAAGATCCTTCTCCCACACCCAGCCCTCCTGATCCAGAACAAGTTTCTGAGCTTGCACCAACAGATGTAGAGAGGTGAAAATATCAAACTTTACATCTCACATGTGCTACTTTACTTCAAAGCAGACTTCATTAAATCAGCAATATTTCTGCTCCTTAGCTTTTTATGTGCTGTGACATTTTTTGCTTTCCTAGTCTTATTTATAAATAAATAAACATATATAAATAAAAACAAGTGAAACTAATCTGTAGGCGTAGGTTTCATTCAAGGTGATGACACCAGTTGGCACAGTCATAGTGTGCAAACTGTGGTGTTGTACCACATATCTGACCACAACATGCCATTGCCTTACAAAGTTTCCTGTCACACTCCAACCATTGTACTCACCACAAATGCAGTAGTGTCTCCTCATCAGTATAAAGCATCATATTGTGCTCTCAAGCGACAGGAAGTCAGACCATTTGTGGCAGAGTGTTGCTCATTTCAAATCCAGGACTTTACAATAATTACAAAAAAATAGGCCTGCTCATCAAAATCACATTCTTGAAATATTGATTGTGAAGCTTTAATTATGTTTTGCCTGAACTTTTTTTTTTTTTTTGTATTATTTTAAAGAGGTGTACATTTCACAACTAAGTGAGCTCTGCACTGTTATGTTTTGTAATTTTAGAAGCCAAGAAATAACTAAAACTGATGACCAAGCACATTTAGAGGAAAGCAAGAATGAGAAGGTAAGGAGGGGAAGAGTTATTAATCTGATGAAACTGTATATTCTGTGTACGATCAATATGTTTTTGTTTTCTCAGTGTACAAATGAAGAGAACAGTAAGGTGAGTGGGAAGCCACCTTTGAATCCTTCAGCCACCCTGCCTGCCTCCACAGAAGATGACAGCTTTGGCTCAAGAAAGGCTCGCTCATCTTTTGGAAAGGGCTTCTTTAAGATTCGTGGAGGCAAGAAGGCGACCAGCAGTCCTAACCTCGGTACGAGCACAAAATCTGTTATAAATTGTCCTGTTATGTGCTTCACAAGGCAAACTGATGAGATCCTCACCACAGTGAGAATTTCCTGGAGATTTCTTTCTTCAACCATGGACTAGAATTGTTTTTTTCTTAAAAGCCACACCCCTGGAGTTTATTTTATGGACAAAGATTATAATTTGCACCCCACCTAAACTGTGGTTCTTATTTAATTATAGATGGCTGTTTCCATGACACTGTATGACCTTTGTCTCGTCTGTGTTCTTTTTTTGTACATGTTTCTGTCCCCACTCTCATTTCAGTTATTATTTCACTCCTGATTTCTGTCCTCTTGTTCTTTTTTTATCGGACGCTGTCGTGTGTTGTGTGCCTTTTTGTAAACACATGAAGACCGCAGCAGGAGTGCAAGTGCACCTATGCTAGGTACAGTAAAGACAGTAGGGTTGTTGTATTTCTCTGACAAGCAAAAGAAACTACTCACTTTATATAAATCCTACATCTTTGTGCACTTGTTTTTCTTTGCTTTCTCATTCTTTGGCTTGACTTGTTTCTGTTCATTTTTAATGTGTCAGTATCAGAGTTAACATCCACATCCTCATCACTATACTTTGTTGCACAAATGTCTGTTCAACATACAGTAGTCTTTGTTTTCTGTGTATGCTGATGCATGTTTTAAAGTGTGTTTCTTTGTCAAACACAAATCTTTCTGAAGATCCATATTGTTCAAGAAAAACCTTTATTTGGATCTTAAAGACCTTCCACTAAATATCTAAAATAGAACCTCAATTTTTACAAAGTTGGGACGTTGCGCAAAACAAAACAAAAAAGCAATGAAAAGAATTGCAAATCTCAAAAACCCCTATTTCATTCACAATAGAACAAAGTAAACTTATTAAATGTTAAAACAAATTCTTCCGTTTGTTCAGACGGGGTCATGTTCACCCTCCTCTTGTAACAACAGTCTGTAAACTTCCCAGAACTGAGACCAGTGGCTGGAGGTGTTGGAGGGAATGTAGTCCCATTCTTGTCTGATTCTAGCTGTTCAGCATTCCTGGGTCCTTACCAATAATTTTTTAATTTCATGATGCATCAAATGTTTTCTGTTGGTGAGAGGTTTAAGCTGAAGGCAGGCCAGTTCAGCACCGGGACATCTCTACTACAAAGCCATGCAGGATGTGGTTCAGCATTGTCTTGTTGGAAGTTGAGACATGCAAGGTCCTCCCAGAAAAAGATGTTGTCTGACTCTGGATGGGAGCATATGTTCTGTATGAACTGTTCTACATTGATGGTGCCTGTCCAGATGTGTAAGCTGCTCATGCCATAGGAGCCAATGTACCCCCATACAGTCAGAGAGGCAAGCTTTTTTAACTGTGTACTGGCAACAGACTGGATGGGTTCAAAAAATAATTTTCCACTTTGGCTACTTATATTTTTTGTCTATTTTAAATGAGTTTTGGCCCAGAGAAGATGGGGGCGGTTTTAGATGGTGTTCGACAACGTCATCTTTGCAGAATCAAACCTGTTTTTAATGCAGTCCTGTCTCTTTGCCATCTAGAACTGACGTTCAGTCTTTTCCTTTAAACTCAGAGATTTCTCCAGTTTCTTGAAATCTTTTGATGATATTATGAACTGTAGATGATGGGATAGTAAAAGTTTTCTCATCTTTCTATTGAACATTATTCTGAAATTGATCCACTATTTTTAGATTCAGTTTTTTGCACACTGGTGAACCTCTGTCCATTTTACTTCTGAGAAATTCATCCTCTCTAAAATGCTCTTTTTATACGGTCCCACTGACCAACCCCTCTGAGATGTGTTGTTACCAATACTTTAAAAAAATAACCAGTTTTTCACTAAAATATGTATACATTTTTTTACTTTAAACATTTGATATGTTTACTACGTTCATTGTGACTGAGATCAATTTGAGATTTGCAAATCATTACATTCAGTTTTTATTTACAGTTTAAACAACATCCCAACATTGTCAGAATGGGGTTGTAAAACAACTAAAGAAATAACTTTTGTTTTCTAATATCAGTCAGACATCGGCATGTCTGACGCATGCATATTAGAGAGCCTTTTGCTTTGAATGCCCCCTGCCATGACCTCTCAGTCTGTCCATGTCCTGGAGTCGACATGTGTTCTTTGCAGTGTGTTCTGGAGCGCTGACTCTTTTCCGCAGCTGCGTCTCCACCAGTCAATGCACATCTTTCACTCCAACACTCATGAGGTTGTTCTGTGGGCATTTCTTTGTGCAGCTGAAACGGAGCGGCAGGGCACCGATCATTTGGATCTGGCTGGGCTTCCACAAAGGTCATCTAACAGTGACAGCACAAACACACTTCCCACAAACCCGGAAAGCAGAAAGAAATCCAAAGGAATAAAAAAATTATTTGGGAAGTGAGTATATTATATTAAAATCTTTTAACGGTTAGTTTAAAGGAAAAAAATCCTGAACAAATGATTATGGTGAAGATAGTTTATCATGTAATCTCTAATGTGTGTTTTAAGGCTCATAAGAAGTCAGTCTACTACGTTCAACCTAGATGATAACTTGCCAGACGGAGAGTTTAAGCGTGGCGGCGTTCGAGCCACAGCGGGACCCAGACTGGGTTGGTCTCGTGACCTCCAGCGAGTCAACAAGTGAGTCTGTGCATTCCGCATAAATAATGAACGTCTGAATGTGGTTTCCCTGTTTTGAATCTCTTTTGTACAACGGCTTTCAGACATAATAAAACAAGAACAGCCTTAGTATGGACCACAAAGATCTGAAACTTGAGTCTCACAATGAATATGACGTCCATTTCACACCTTTTTTATGCTGCTACAGGGATATACCTGCAGACATCACACAGTTCAATCCTTTCCGTTTTATTTTCTCAGTGAGGTGGACGCTCCATTCGCTCGATGGTCAAAGGATCAGGTTTGCGACTGGCTGCAGGAGCAGGGTCTAGGCCTCTACGTGAACCTGGCTCGAGTGTGGATCTTATCCGGACAGACTTTGCTGCAGGCGTCACAACAAGACCTCGAGAAGGTGAGACACAGCAGAACAATGTTTCTAACTTCATGCATCAAGTTAGCAGACAAAGGTTTCCCATGTTGAGCTTGTTTGATGGGTGTTGGTTTTTAGGAGCTGGGTATCAAACACCCGCTGCACAGAAAGAAGCTGCAGCTGGCTCTGCAAGCCATCGGCTCAGAGGAGGACGATAATAAGGGGAAGTTGGACTACAACTGGGTGACACGTGAGTGTTTGCGTCAAGGCATAAATCAAGTCAACAATATTTTACCATTAATTTAACATGCTTTTATGTTATTTTAATGACATCCAGCTTTCGTCTTATATTTGTCATGTTGATGTTCTTGTCATGGTTTCCTCTCAGGGTGGTTGGATGATATTGGCCTTCCTCAGTATAAAACCCAGTTCGATGAGGGCAGAGTGGATGGTCGCATGTTGCACTACATGACAGTGGTGAGTGCTTCCTTACAGACCAGGTGGGTGAGAAGCTCTGACAACTTCTTGTATTTAGAGTCCAATCAGCTCCAGATGTGAAGGCCTGATTTCCTGGTTGTTTGGTTGTATTTTGTTTTGACTCGCAGCTAATATTTACTCACAAAGTAGTTAACAGTTGTTTGACTGTTTTGTTCTTCAGGATGACCTGCTCTCCCTGAAAGTTGGAAGCGTTCTTCATCACCTCAGCATCAAGAGAGCGATTCAGGTTCTTCGACTAAACAACTACGAGCCCAACTGTTTGCGCCGCAGGCCGTCAGACGAGGTGCGTTCAAGTCTGAGGTTCTTCTGTGACGTTAGGAAGCAACTGTAGGCATGAAAACCATCTGTTGTTTATTTTATTATGATAAAATATTAGAACAGGATGTCTAGTTTCTATAGCAGCAGCGGTAACTCCAGTTGTCTGCTGATCAACCATAACATTACGACCACGTGGCACATAATGAAACAGCAGCAGGGTCAGCAGAGTTAACAGCACAGGTCAGGTTCTGCTCACCCTGTTCAGAACTTTAGTTGTGGTGTACCTCTGAAAACCAGCAGTTCTTTCTCAGACTGCTTTTGGTTGTTTATGTTTTCAAATTCAGGATAGATGAATATTTGCGAACTAAGAAATTAAACCCAGTAGTGTTAATTTTTCACACTTACTTCATCACAGAGAAATTGTTGTTCAGATCAGACTTGAGTTTTAATGACCGTCTTAAGTCGCAAATGTTTAGTTTAGTTTTTTATTTAAACCGTTCAACATAAAACTTTGTTTTTACTTTCCTGTTTTGTAAGAAAGAATAGAAACATGGAATTAAAACTACTAAATAGGTCAAACTTTCAGACTTTCATTGTATGTTACTGGTTATCCTTTGATGTTTATCGGTATTTTTAAATAATATTGTTGGTATGTTTTCATGAGGCATCATATGTGAAAACTGTAATATTATTTTTCTTACTTTTTGCACTTAAATTAAAAATCTTATTAAGCACTGATTCTGGAGAAGGTTCTGTTTTCACTGTAGCTTCTTTGTGGGTCTGAATGAAAATAATGTGTAGATGTAATGCTGTCTGCACCCCAGTCACATTGTTGATTTGAGTTTTCTAGCATTTTAGCAGCTACTAACTAATATGGCCATAAATATTCAGTCTGACTTATTGTTTTATGGACCTCACATTAGCACCATAACCAGAACAGAGTTCTGTTAGGAACAAGGTTAATATTTAATAAAACGCTGTCTATGTTAGTGGGACGCAGTTTTCTTCATGTTCTCTCTGCATGTCGTATCTGTAGAACAACATTTCACCTGCAGAGATTTCGCAGTGGACCAACCACAGGGTGATGGAGTGGCTTCGATCTGTGGACCTCGCTGAATACGCTCCCAACCTGCGAGGCAGCGGCGTCCACGGAGGCCTCATGGTGAGAGGAGTTCTATTTTCCCGTTAAAACATTTTCTTCTTGCACCGATCAGCTCCTAATACGTTATGCTCCCTGTTCAGGTTCTGGAGCCACGGTTCAACGTGGAGACCATGGCTCTGCTGCTGAACATCCCCCCCAACAAGACTCTGCTGCGCCGCCACCTCGCCACACATTTCAGCCGGCTGATCGGCTCCGAGGCCCAGCAGCTCAAACAGGAGTGTCTCGAAAACCCGGACTACACTTTGCTTACAGCTACCACAAAAGTCAAGGTAATCTGTTACTTTCAGAGTCAAGGTAATCTATTACTTTCTGCCACATCTGTTTTTAGAGACAAACTGGTTTTAGATCAGTTGTGAAGACACTAAAAGAAAAGCTTTAAATGTGTTTCTTTTCAGGGTTGATGTTTATTTTATTCTAAAGTTTTTTAGGTGTTGTTACTCCCAACATTTTAAAAAGGAAATCTGTAGTGAGGGCAAATTTAATGTATTGTCGAAAAGCTGAAACTGAGTTGTTGAAGTTAGTGAGTTGAAACAGCCGAAACAATTACAACAGATACTCAAACATTGAGAAAACAACAGCTAAAATCTAAAACAGCAGAGCAGTAAAAGTGAAAGTTGGTCAAGCATGTGCTGAACTAAATTTCAGAGAACAATGTTTTTAAGGAATTGAAGAGATCTCAGTGCATTTCTAATGTTTTTTTTTTGTAAATAAAGTTAAGTAATTCAAAAAGTATGAAAGTGAAAATACTAAAAGTTTTGATTGAGCCATACATTTTGATATATGAATGGAGAAACTAAAGTATAAATGCTGACTCAGCAAATAATTGTGTCATCACTAGCAAGACGGTTTTGATGGATAAAGTTTATATTTTATTTATTATTATTTAGTAAAATGTACGCAGACCTTGAGAACATGTTCTTTGGTCTTTCCCTTTTGCTGCCAGCCAAGGAAACTGTCATTTGGCAATCTGAGGAAGAAAAAACAAGACGACAACGAGGAGTACGTGTGTCCGATGGACGTGGAGATGCCAAAGGGAAGCTTCCAGAAAGGCTTTGAGCTCCAGATCTACGAAGATGACCTGGACCGACTAGAACAGGTGAGCCCGACCCACAAAATATCTTCTGAATTAGAACGTACACTTAGGTACTACAAGATCCTCAGTATGTAAATCTGGACCGTGTCCTACAGTTTAAGTGTCTCATTTGTCCAGATGGAGGACTCTGAGGGGACAGTGAGACAGATTGGAGCTTTCTCTGAGGGAATTCAGAACCTCACGGTAAGAGTGGAACAAAAGGAGCACACGTGGATCGATTCAAGAGCTTCATGTTGTCTCTGTCTGTCTTCACCAGAGCATGCTGAAAGATGACGAGTTCTTCAAAGAGATGTCGGACTCACCCAACCCCAGTGTGACCGATGAGGAGTCCACCGCGTGAGACCGGCGGCCTCAGAACTGGTCCTGCTGTGAACCCAACTCTGTGCCAGCAGCAAAGACTCTGCATTAATATTCCCACATTTCCTTTTAGTGTTAATATTAGAAAAAAGAGCCAAACGTATTCGAGTCGCTGAGTTTTCAGTTCATCTGTCTTCTGTTAGAGGGAACATTTAGGACACGGCCACTGTTCGCCTGCCAGCTGGTTTCTGGAAACATTTTGTTCTCAAATAGAGACGCCGTTCTGGTTCTGATAGAACTAAAATGCCAACCAGCAGGGAGAAAAGCCAAAATAGATTTAATATATTTCTTTGAAACTGTGGAGGTATCTGATAAAGGCACGGACTTCACAGACGTAGAGGACTTTCTAGAAGTAATACGCTGAGAGTTTGTTCTTGTTTTAGTTTGGTCTAACTCCAAAACAGCTGCTATGTTTTTCTACACAACTGAACCTGGCTGATTAAACAATAACAGTTTTATATTTTATCTTTTCATCAAGACTTTCACTTGTAATCTTGCACATATTCATCATTCATACTTAAAAAACATAAGGAGTATCATTGCATGATATCAGAATTCCACATATTTTTACTAAAGTTTGTCATGTTTTTGTTTTTATTATCCTAGAAGGATTTTTGGAAACCTGTGGCCTTGCAGTTAAATAAATAAAATGTTTCAGACTGAAATAAGATAATGTGAGTTTTATTTTGCTGTTTCAAAGGAAGTAATAATGCTGTAATTCAACTTTTGATCATATCTCTAAATATGATCGATTGTAAACTCTTATACTGTTAAGATCAATAAAGTAATTTAAGTCAAACTTTGGTTTCCTTTTAATGAACTAAGTTAGAAACAGTAAAATGTGGATAGAAAATGGATGTAAAGTTCTGCCTTTACTGGAAAACAAGTCTGACGTTTCAGTTTTATTTGTCTATTTTTTAATCGTCTTGTTTTGAACTTTGAAATGTTTGAAATCCTGATGATTGAAGCCAAACTAGAAAAAAAACTTGATTTTCTGCTGCGTTTGAGTTGAATTTTTATGCTTCCAACAATTTATCTTCAGATTGTTTACATGTACAAAACAATTCCAAACTAAAAAAAAATCAGATGTTTTCACAGCTTTGTCTTTTAAAGTTTTAATAATTTATTTGTTGTTTAGGAAACAAATCGTGTAACATTTGATTTTATAACTTTCTCTAAAATCATCTTGTTGAGATGGAAGGAGTTACAAATGTTTTATCAAACCTTGAAAATGATCTGACATCTTAAAGTTAATTCAGGTCCTCTGGATGGATTTAAAGAGAAATAAATGTTGAAATGTTTCATCTTATCCAGAAGACTGTCAGTCTGAGGAGCTGCACTAAACTCAGTCTTATAAACGGCACCTTCTCGTAGTGCAGGGTTCTGCAACCTGCGGCTCTGGAGCCACATGCGGCTCTCTGGTCCCTCTGCAGCGGCTCTTTCAAGCTTTGGCCAAAACTGACATAAAACTGAATTATATTGGTTGTTATGGCAACAACTAAAAGGGCTAGTTTTAGCAATTTTCCTGTAATTTATTTTGCAAATATATGAATACTAGAAACATTACAAGGAGTAAAACATACTCACTAACTTTATGCTTTATTTCTTCAAAGTAGGATACATAATTTTTCTGCAATAAAAAAAAAATTGCATAAGAATGCATAGTTTATTGTTTTAGTTTTTAGAAACTTGGCAAAAACTATTATTTTTTCTTTCTTTACAAGAATCCCATCTTTTATTTCATCTTAGATGTAAAAATATCAATAAATGTAAAAAAATCACAAGATATTTTTAGTTTTATAAAATCACCCCTACTGTCCAGAAAAGCACCCTCCAACAAACTTAAAGTGGTCCGTGGGCCACCAGTTGAGAATCCCAGTTGTAGCAGGTATTGTGGCTCTGGACACGTTTAATTTAGTGAACAAAGAGGCAGAAATGGTTATTTTGATTGTAAAGGTTGCAGACCCCTGTCATAGTGGATCAACCAGTTTACTGGTGACAGTCAGAACCAGCTGTTCACATGATGAAAAGGACCATCAGCCTAACGACTGATCGTTAGTGCCCTGATAACTGCTTGCTATTCACAGAGGGCTGAGTGATACTAGTAATAATAATCTGAAATCTGTTAGCTCTCAACATACAACTCAAGCTTTAGCCCAATATCTGGAAATCTGACTACTGAAGCCATATTTGTGTTTGCCATAGTGGTGGCCATCTTGAACTGGGCTGACTAAAAGTTAATCAGCAGTAGATGTACATCAAATTATTATTTTCACCTTTGGTCAGCAGGAGATAAAACCGTGCTTTGGAGGGTTATTGGTTTCATTTTGTGTTGATTCAATCATCTATTTATATTATTACTACTGTTTATATTACACTACTGTTGATATATATATATATATATATACTTTTTTTTTTACTAGCCTTATTGCATATGTCACTTTACCTATACCAATATCATGGACTTCATACATATACTGTGTACATTCACTTCATATGCTGCTTTGACACTTACTACAAATGTCAATGTCATTTTATTTTATAAATATACTTTTTTAAATATTTTTTATACCGCTATACTACAATTTAATACAGTATCATTCTTGTATTATTTCATTTTATGCTTATGTTTATTAAATGTTTTAATGTTAAATGGTTATTGTTGCACCAGGGGTCTGCGAGTAATGTAATTTCAATCCTGTGTATGTCCTGTACATATTGCAGTTTTGACAATAAAGTGAGTGATCTTTTCAGAGACAAACCCAACAAACGATATTAAAATAAATTGAAATGGCTGACTGCCTCAAACATGATGGAGCTTCATCTAATTTTCTACATTTGAACTCTGGTCAAGATGAGGGTTCAAATCCTGAAACAAAGCACCCCCTGGTGGACAAATCAACTGTCTTCATGTCCAGATTGTCCCAGTCCAGCTCTCCAGGATATAAAGAGCTGGGTGGAGACCGGGCTCACAGAACAGAACCTGAGCCAGTGCTGTGTTGACGTCTGAGGGGCTTTCTGGGATCATGACTGCCAGGTGGGTAGAAGAAGTTCCTAATTCTAAGATTTCAAATTTAGACCAGAATATTGTCTGGAAACTTGCTCTGTGTGTGAAATACAGACTCTCTGGACCCCTGCTCCTTGTGGTACTTCTCTATGGACTGGATGCATCCAGGTAGGGTGGTAAAAGTACTTTTTTTTTTTTTCATGTATTTAAAACTTTGTCAGATTTCTGTGCTCGGCTCTGTCAGTACCAGACCAGCTGTAAACCAGGAGCTGTCCAACCTTTTCAATGAGCTCTGGAGGTTGGATGGGAATCGGATGAAGCCTGGGACAGACTACACAATCTCTGTCCAAGTGAGGAGCACGTTTCCTTCCTTCAATGCTTCTTGTTTATTCTTCTAACCTTTAGGACTGGTCCACTATTGTTCAATTTGGATTACTTTATAACTTATTAAAAAGCTCCCCGTAAAGCTAGAACTGTATATTATCCATCTTTAGTAGATGAGAATACAAATAATGTTTCTGTTCAGTGCCCTGAGACGACTTCTGCTGTGGTTTGGTGTTATATAAACAAACTGAAATGAAATGAATTAATGTTTCTGTGGATTTTGTGACTCGCCTGTCCAGGGCAGGGCAGGATTTGTGAGCCCGGGCAGCCTTGTGGTGCTGGATCGCGCCTCGCTGCCTCTGTTCTCCAACGTTGATGAGAACAAACTGAGGAACTCCACCACCTTCTCTCGTGAGTGTCATAGTGTTTTTCTTTTTTTTAATGCATTTTATCAAACAAACATTTGTCCTGTCAGGCTTCATGAAGCTCCTGGACAACTACGAGCGGTCCACAGGCGTCACAGAGCGGATCACCACAGAGGAGCTGACAGAAATCAGTCTTTTCCTGGATGCTGTTCTGCAGACCCAAGTCATGAAGGTGTGTTTGATGTGTTAACATAACACTCCTGCACTGGGCTACGTTGTGGGCATCTGTTTATTTTTGTATTTAAATCTTAAACTTCCCAGAGAAGCTCAAAAACTTTTGTTGCTCCACATTTCCTGCTGCTTTTCCTGCATTTTGCAGCTTAAATCTGCAGCTGGGGATCTGAAGGGCTCAGTCTTTTCCTGCCTCCCTGCAGAAACAGAACCCCTTAAAAAACAACAATAGAGCTGAAACATCTGTGTGCAGCTGTGGAATGCAGTGTTGGCCTA